ATGAAGCGAAAAAAGCCAAATGCAAAAAAAAAAAAAATAATAATAATAATGAAGAAAGAATGGATGAAAGAGTGGTTATGTGAGAGATATAATCACTCACATGTAAACTATTAAATTCAATGGAGCTGACTGCTCCTGACGATTTTAAAAACTTCCTCAGGATGGATTCCAAAACGTATATGGATCTCCTTACTGCAGTCACTCCTGTAATAAAAAAGAAAGACATAGGAATGCGTGAAGCGATTACAGCAGATGAGAGACTCTCCGCAACATTGAGGTTTCTCGCAACTGGATAAAGTTTTGAGGATCTAAAATTCTTAACAAAGATTTCCCCACAATCTGTAGGCAGAATAACAATTGAGACGTGCAGAGCAATAATTTCATCATTAAAATCGTTTATTACGGTATGTAAAAAATAATATTATATATATTCTTTGTTATCGAAAAGCTGTTGGAACGAGTTTGTTGGAGTTATTMTTTCCTGAGAAATAACTCTCACAGATTGATGTTCTGGAAAAATTTCMTCGGATGGAAGCATTTGCAAACTAATTGGTGAAGATGAAAAGCTCGATTCGTTAGTTGGAGGTTAAGGCTGATCGAAAAGGAAAGATGATTCAGCTGACCGTGCATTAGAGTGTCGTCAATTATGCGCTTCGAAAAATTGTTTGTTGTTCGTTCATTTTGCGATATAACATGGACCATCCTTCTGCAAAAATATCTGATTCATCCCTTTTCGACGGTTTATTCATTTTGTCCAAATGTGGAACAGCTTTTTCCAAAATTTCCGAGTCATCATATTTTCGTTTTTTTTAATGAGAGGGCTGAAAGATTATAATAAATTTCCTTTAATATTCCAGATTCCAAGTAAAGGAAAGTAATTTCTGATGATTTTGAAAAAAGTGGAATTTTAGCAATTGCATTGGCGCCATCGACGGCAAGCATGTGCACATTAAAAAACCGCCAAAATCTGGGTCTTTTTATTTTAATTATAAGAAGAGTTTTAGTATTGTGATGATGGCGGTGGTTAATGCAAACTACGAATTCATATCAGTGGAAGTGGGAACAAATGGCAGAGCATCAAATGCGGGTGTTTTCGCGCAATCCAAGTTGAAGTATTTATATGATAAAGGGCTTCTATGTTTACCTGAGCCGGAGAAGCTACCACTGTCCGAAGATATATTTCCATTTGTATTCGTAGGGGATAATGCATTTCCTTTTTAATGTTGAACACAGAAAAAGCCACATTAATTGCAACTGCCTGTTGCTATTTACATAATTATATAAAAGTAAAAAATAAGTCAATTTATTTGAGAAACTCCAACGAAATGAATACTGGGATTACTACAAATGATTATTTGACTATTTGAAGCCGATAAAGTGTACCAACTCTTCCAACAACGCCAAGCATGTTCGCGATAAATTTAAACTTTAGTACTGTTGGTGCAGTGCCTTGGCAGAATATATTTGTATAAGCTCTATCAATTTTTGTAATAACTCCAATTTTTCTCAAAATAAAGAATTATTGCTTCTCATAACCTACGAGTATGTACTTACTTTTTCAATATCGATAGATTCGTCGAATGAGCAAAATCCATCTGTTTGCATCTCTTGGTCACCCAAAAATTCCAACTTATTGAAGTACCATAGATTTGGTACATATATTTCCTCAGCACCTGCCCCAGACTTTCCGCTCTTGCATATCTTCRCCAATTCACGTCTATATGCAGTTCGTAAACAATAAATTTTTTTTTACTACGTCAATTATCGCATCCTTATCAATTTCTTTATATTTCGAAAGAAAATTTTTCTACGACTGATCTTTTTGGTATTTATTCTTATAATTTTCACTTTTGCATTGCCATAAGGCCGGTTCATTTTGAAATAATTCAATAAACTCTTCCAAAAAATGTTTGCTCACGCTTGCCATTTTTTTATCCACTGCAAAAGTTTCAACCAACTGACCAAACGTTTTTGTCGCAAACCTTCAATCCGTTTGACAACATGCCCACCCACGACAAAAACCACCTCAAACTCAAACAGATTTGTCAAACAAATATGTCGTGAGGGGGCCGCTTTATGGAAAGGTTTATTGGGAAGGTTAGTTAGCTTGAATATGTGAAGATAATGCTTTCACGCAGATCAATATTGATTGCTAAATGTGTATATACAAGTTACAATAAACCCGACTTTAAACTTATATATAAGATTGTGGAATTTTTTCAAGTGCACTGCCGTTATGGCTTTATGACAACTTTAATTAATTGAACAAGTAAGGAAGTGCTGAATTCGGGTGCAACCGAACATTTTATACTCTTGCAACTTGCAAAAATTAAARCCAGGTTAAAAACGGCAACCACAGTATCGGAATCCAAGCCATTTAATAGTATTTACATATCCTCTATAATACTCATGCACTGAGCTAAAAATTCGGCATAAGGTTTGTTAGAAAAACGAAAATCATTATATTAGGAGTTGGGGTAGTATGTTGCCTTGGTTTCATAAAGGTACCTCACATACAATTACCAATCATATGGAGTAAAGTCAGACGGATGTTCGAAAATCCTGACATTAGTTACATATATGGGGCTGGATTAAATTTTCGTCCAATTTTATCTATTTTATGCATAAAGATGAAATATTATGAGTAAAATATGCTCTGTAAAATCCATTGAGATATCTCAATTATTGAAAGATATATGGTTAGAAAAACTTTATATTAGGTGTATGGGGTCTTCGGTATGTATTGACCCGATTCAAATCATTACTAATTAATACCCATAATTGCATGAAAAAATTCTGTCTGGGTTTCAATTGTGTCAAATTTTCAGTCAAAAGTCAACTATAAATACTGGGGTCCACATATTCGGTATGTAGTGGTTTTGGTTGGATTAGAATAATTTGCTTTTTGATTTCTATACTGGAAAGTGAAAGAATCAAGGGAAATTTAAAATTGTGGTATATGGGAAGTAGGCGTGGTTGTAGTCCAATTTCGCCTATTTTCACAATGTCCCACCGGATTATGAGAAGAATGCCAAAGCAAATTTTGATTTTTTTTTCCAAATTCGTTTATTTTCACACAAAACATTGAATTAATTTTTTAAAAAAGGTCTGGATTCTGACGAAAGGAGATTTGTCAAATACCGCTATTGAGAGTAATTGTGGAGAAAAATATTGTGGTTTGGGAAGGAAACAATCAAACTGTACTGTGGTCAAAACCAAGGCAAAGTAAAAAACGGTGATTGGAACTGGTATTGGTAATGCGTAAACAATCAATCTTGGAAAATTTTTGATCTAAAAGCGATGCCTTCATACGCATCTTCCCAGCGTCTCTTGTTGAAAGTGTTTCTATTGAGACAATTGGGAAAGCTAAATCAAACAGTTCCAAAAACATAAGAGGGAAATTCAGAGTCTGGTGCATCTGAGTTTGCAAAATTATGCAATTTCAAATATTTACCCTTAACATTGAACGTCTTTTTTGTGATTTCAGTGCAACCCTTGCAAATACCATTAATTCACAGCTGATCGGTGAAGAAAAACGTTGTTTGTAAACAAAATTGTCGCACAAATTGGAAAATTTGCCGAAAAATAGTTTTAGAGAAAAATTAACTGACGCTTTAATTGATGAAGCTGCTGAAGAAATTATGGACATTGAAGGTGAGAAATATTTTTATGCAGAATTTCAGTTAATAACAATTTTCTTCTAGGAATCGAAAGTGATGATGACGCAGTGGATGCAGTGTTAGATGAATTGGCTGAAATATTTTTATGCAGAATTTCAGTTAATAACAATTTTCTTCTAGAAATCGAAAGTGATGATGACGCAGTGGATGCAGTGTTAGATGAATTGGCTGACAATATAATGTATCTGTTATTATGGAATGTCGGCGAGGAGATTATAGCAAAATACCTAAGTCAGGAATTTGGCGCAATAATATTTTGACAACACTGGACGAAGACCGATTCCGCCAAATGTTAAGAGTAGATAAAGACCAATATAATATGTTGGTTGATTTAATAAAAAACGATGGGGAATTCAACAAAGCGCACTCATGTAAGCAATTTTCTGTCGAATTGCAATTAACAATCACGTTTGGGTTCGTCGGGAGAAAAAGCAGCATTTAGAAAAATAGCGACAATTTTTGGAGTGGGAGATGGCAAAACTATACCGCTAATAACAAAAAGAATCTTTAGAGTGTTCTTGCGTCACCAATCTAAGTATATATATTGGCCCGATGAGGTTGAACGATCGAAAATAGTATCGGATACCTTTGATGAGTTACCGTTTTGTATTGGATATATTGATGGAACCGAGATTAAATTAGCAGAATCGCCAATTGAAGACCATACATCATACTTCTCCAGAAATCACATATATTCAATAAAAGCACAAATAGTTTGTGATTATAAACGAGTAATTCGACATGTTGTGGTTGGTCACCCTGGGAGCTGGCATGATCAGTATTTTTCTTCACAGCAATGGATTGCTGGGGACTCCGCATATTCTTTTTTTGCAACGTTAATAACCCCTTAAAGAAGCAACGCAAGACAGTTGGATTGAAATGCCCGAATTGCATTTAATTTATGGCACAGTTAATACCGGGTTAGAATAGAGCATTATTTTGGGCTTTTATAAGAAAGATTTGGAAGCCTTAAGCAGCTAAGGATGCGTTTATCTAACAAAAAAACCATAAATTATGCTGCGATTGGTTTCTTGTCTGCTGTATTCCCCACAACATTTTAATTAATAATGGTTCCRCTTCGTTCGACGGTGGTTCAGATACATCAACTACTACCGAAGATTCTATTGAGCCCATACCCTTATACACCCAACAATGTTGGAGAAACTAAAACACAAGCCATATACGCATTAATGTTTTCTTAAATGTATTTTAATTCATTTTTCAGTTTTTAATTACATACTTATATAATAATTATAATTACATATATTTATACATTTAGTATAAGACAAACATGAAAAAGATAACGCTTTGAATGATAGAAGATAGTAAAACATCAAAACCCGTATTAAATAAGTATTCATCTCAACAGTAATTGGTACTACATATTTTAAAATACAAAGATAAATAAAGTACAGAGATACATAAATTAAGATAAATAAAGTACAGAAAAATTACTGGTGAGAGGAATACTWATATTTCATTTAAATTTCGAACTTTTGCAAGCGTTCCTCCTTTTCAATTTGAAGTTTTTTCAACCGTTCATCCTTTTCCAAATCTAAGATTTTTAAGTCCAATTCACAGTTCTTGTATATTACTTCAGCTTTACCTCTTTCAATTTCTGCTTGCAATCTTCTTTCATTCAAAGCGTGATCTTTTTCATGTTTCTCTTTTTCCCATTCCATTTTCATTTTGAACATTTACCTACGCTCGACTTGAAAAGCAACAAGATTTGCAGCAGATGATTTTGGGACATATTTTTTAATTTTTTCCGCGAAATCTTTTGCTTTTTTATGAACAATCACTTCACTACATTGCCTGGTGGTAGAATTTCAATATTGGCAATGTCAATTTATAGACGCAATTTCTTCGCCGACATCAGAAAAGGTGACTTCCAGTATTTGGCTGGCCGCGCTTTCATTCATTATGGACGTTCTGCCACTATCAACCACTTCAAATAGTAATTCACTTGTGGCTTTTTCCCAAAAATATATTTAAGCTGATTAAAGTGTGGGCACATCTGCAACACTTTGCCTGAAATATAAACATTAGACAAAATTTTGTCGCATTCACTACGCTTACCTTCAACACTCGACGTCGCGGCATCAGACTCAAGAAGGCCTGCTCCTGTTGACATTCGCCAATCGCTTGCTTTTTTGTATGAAGCCTTAATGTGCCGCACTTTCCACCGTATTAAATCCCACATTGCGTCTATTTTTGTGCTCTCAATGAGGTTTTTATAAAAAATTTGAGCTGTTAGTGCCTATTTGAATTAAAATTATTGTTACATAAATTGTTGAAATTAATCACTTAAATCACTTACCTCTACTTCTAGAGCTTCCTGCATGAAATCCAGTATACTCTGGATTTCTTTTTCGCTCCACTTTTTGTTTGGTTTTTCACGTTTAATTCTTTTTCTGTTTAAACCTGTTTGCTCCATTTCTTTTCTTTGTTTGCTTTTATTTTTGACAACAGCTGATAATTTGCAAACCAGTGTTGCAAATAATACAATGGTGTTTTAGTGTTGCTTCTTTGCAAGGGTGTAGCAAGTGCGTCGCTGTACATTTTGTTAGGGTAAAAGCAAAAATATGCTCGCTCATTTGCAATTGCAAATATGCAAGACCATTTGCACCAGATTCTGATTATCCCTAATATATTGACAAGAAACAACTCCCAAAACTATTTACATCTTTTGAAGAAGCTATCAACACATTTGAAGAAAAACCTGCTAGGGCTTTCAACTGCTTATGACAGCGAAGTTGTATATCCTGTAACAAAAAAACCACAAGTCATACATGATTATAATGAGTATAAAGATAGTATTGATACTTTTGACAAAATACTACGGTGATTCTTTAGCAAAGTAAAAACGAACCACTGGCCCATTTCTTTATAATATCCTGAATATTGCTGGACTTGAACACAAGCTGTTTGATCTTAGTCACCCTATGTGGAACACCAATAAGTCTGAAAGAATATTTTCGATTACTTAAATAATTAAAATCCCTAATTCTTACATCAATAACATAGTTTGGTGTTCAGAGTTGTATTTGCGTAAACTTATTTTAGTACGGAATTGAAACTAGTATAAATATTTATGATTTATTTTACACATACAACATATGTATAAAATGTATTTGGCGCAAAAGTAATCCTCCTATCAGAAGATGCTAAAATTTTTGCAATTGACCTCTAATGCCAGTTCTGTTTTGACATTTGTGTAGCAAATATATGCGAAATACACGTAAATATACAATGATACGCTACACTGCTCCAGAACGCGGGTTATTGGTTACTATTTATTTGACCAATAATCCCTCGGTGACTTTGGCACAACGTGAATTTCGTCGCAGATTTCCTCGCCGTCCGACGCCTACTGGTGAACACTGCGACATTTAGCCGCTCTCCTCGAAGAGACTGGCACAACACGAGATGCTGCCAGGCGAGGATGTCATGGAAGCGCCGTCGACATCGAATTTTGATCCAAGATTTGAAGATGATTCCGTACAAAGTCCAGACGGTACATCAGCTGTTAGCTGCTGACCGCCAATCGCGTCTAACATCCCCTGAAGCCATCCTTAATCACCACCAAGATTAAGATGATTTTTCATCAAAAGTAATCATGAGTGATGAGGCTCAATTCTATCTTAGCGATTATGTAAATAATACAAATTTATGCTTCTGGGTCACTGAAAATCCGCGTGAAACCTACGAACAGCTATTATAACCCCTCAAAGTCAGTGAGCTGTTTTCGCTGGATGAGTCATCGGACCTTTTTTCTTCGAAGACGTCGCGGGCCTAACAGTTACTGTGAATGGGGAGCGCTACAGAGAAATGATCAACGAGTTCCTTTTGCCGCAACTTGATGAAATGGAAAACATGTGGTTCCAAAACGGCACACACTGCACGTGCCATAACCGATATGCTGAATGATGCATTTCCCGGCGCCTAATCTCCCGTTTTTGCGATTTGCAATTATCCAGCAAGATCGCCTGATTTGACCGCTCCAGACTTCTACGGTCATGTTACCTAGTGACATGCCGGTCACGCGTGCCGGTTTAATTGTCACTTTTTCCTATCACTTTCTTAACGGCGAATCAAAAAAGCTCCCAAAACTTTTGTATACATGTGATCTTTTATCACCTTCTCGCTCACATATTTACTGCTGTAATAAAACTTATCCTACTCTCTCACATTTTCAATAAATTTGGGACAAATCAAYAAAACTGCTTTCAGGAAAACGTGACGGTGCATTCTGCAATAGCCTAGTGGGTAAACCAATCGTTTGTCATTCCTGCAAACTAAAGTTCAAAGCTCAAAAATATAAAGATTCTTTTTATAAAATATTTCTTTTTTTTTAATTTTAATAATAAAATAATTGTATTTAGATTTACATTAAATTCATTTCCCTTATCTTTTGACATTTTTTAATAATATAAAAATTATTTCGATAAATTCTTATATAGATACAAAAAATAATATATATTTATACATTATCTAAAAAATTATTACAATATTATATTTATCATTCAGCTTTTCGCTTCCTATATTTTTTTTTGCTTAAATCTATAGTGGCTCATTTCGATGGACATCCGCATTTGTTGCTCGAAATTTGCAAGTCCACTGGTGAAGAGAACCTATAAAAAATGTAAGGAAAAATCAATTTGAAATACATATTTTTAGGTAAATATGTATGTATTAAATTTACTATATAATATGTTGGMCAACAGCAATTTCGATAGCGGTTGCTTGCCTCCCCTACCGTCCCAGTTACACAAACTCAGGAATTCGTCAGTGTACAGATGCCGCAACACATCACATATACTGTCGGGGATACTTTTCATCCTTAAAACAAACTGTTTCTGTAATTTGAAAATATTATGCAAAATAAATATTGTTTATTGAAGAAATTGTATACATATGTATTGTATTGTATACGTATGCAAAATAAATATTGTTTATTGAAGAAATTGTATACATTACTAACCGTTGCTGTAGCGAATTCTTCGCATTTTAGTTTTTCTTCCATTTCTAAAGTTGCAGCTAGTGTTGTTAATGGTAGGGTCGAAGCAATTTCTTGTGTTTGTGTGTTGTCGATTTCTTCGCCAGTCAGTCGGCATACTGATTGGTGAACTTTCCGAATTAGCACCTTACATTCGCGGACGGTTTTTTGTTGGGCCATTTCTTCGCTTTTTTGAATTATCTGAGAAAGAACAAGTGCAGTTAAAGAATACTTTAATAATGCCTAATCAGAAACATATAAACAATACGTTTTCTTTGTATTGATGAATACTTATAGAACAATAAAAAGTTTTATGGACATAAACTTATATTTTCTTTCAAAAAGCTGTTCACATTCCTTTCCATATTTTCAACTCTGGAAAACAACTCTTGTAGTTGGGAGGAAAAGCTTTCAACACGTTAAAAACATCTGAAAAAGGTGTAAACATAATAAAGTAAAAATTGTTTAGAAATGCATTTTAACATTACCCTTTCCATCCACAGGCAACATTGGCTTCAGTGCTATAATACTTCTTGCATGATAGTAGCCTTATAGCTGCGTGCAATAAGAGGAAATGGTAGTAATGGTCATCACCAATACAATCCTTTAGGACAAATATACCTATGTACAATAAGAACGACCTAAACTCTGTCGCTTTCCAATTGCTGATTCCATCTAAACTTCTACATATTCGACCGAACTCTGAAGGAACTAAATTGGAAAGAAATGCTATTTTTCATTAACTTTGCTTACGTTTATATTGCCTTTTTTCATCAACAATTGAAGCAACTTTTTTCATACACCAAGATCTACAAGGTGTACAAGGTCTAAAGGAAATTGGGAAACCATTTTGAAATTTCATGACTCTAAAACGCTTTCTCTAAATTTGAAAGGATTAATGTGATGTGATCAGTCACTTCTATTTTTAAAAGATTGGTCAGTTCTTAAATGTTTTATTTGTTTTGAAAAGCAAACTCTCCTTTCTTTGTAGTCACCCACTTGATCACATTTAGAACAACTACTTTTTCTAGTGTGCGACTGCACACCTGTAACAAAAGCTCGAGCGGGAGCATCGCAGCAAAACAAACGAATATCAAATTTCTTCTTTACAGGATAAGTACCAACCTGAACCCTATTTTTTTTTTTAATAATTTACTTCTTCACAAAATTCTTTTAAAAAATCATTAATACTCCAAGGTTTTTCTGTTCCAGAAAAGCACGCAATTGTAAATGGAAATTCGTTTGGAAAATTAACTATGGATGCTAGAATAGGCCACAATACTTTATTGGAATTCTTGAATAATTTCAGGCCATCTATGAGGAAATGAATTTTTCTCAAAATGATTTTGAATTCCTCTATACACTCTAATCGTATATACATGGAATCGTTTGAATATTTACTTTTTTTTCGGCTTGTACCTAGGAGACTTTTAGCCGTTAGAGGTAAATCTGTGTAATCTATTTTTCGCAACGTTTGCAAATGATCGGTTACTGTATTATGGGACACCCTATTTCTCAAAGCCCAAGCTTTTAATTCTAAACTAAATTAATTGTTTTCTATCACTTTTAAAATTTCGCTATCACCATTATTCCTATCACTAACATATGTAGCTATCACTGCAATTTGAAGAAAAATCAAGGGAGCTTAGTGAACTGCATCTCTCCACGTCAGGATCACAATAAAAATATACATCTTTTTCACAAATTTCACTAAGATTAAAAGCGTTTTTTCCCGGCTCATATACGCACTAAATGTATTTTTCTTCATATTTGTTATTTTCTATACTTACCCTTTTTCCAAAATTCCCTTTAAGACCCAAAAACAAAATTAAAGAAACACAATTAAAATAGATTTAAATATTTATTTCATATAATTTTGCATAAATATGCACAAGCACAAATCTTCGCAATTTTCAATTATCGACGCGTTTGTAACCGAATTTTTTTTTTTTTCGAATTCAAATTGTCACAACGAACAAGCAAACGTCAAATTCACGGTATCATGCTGTACGCTTTCACATCCATCGTTTTCAATTAGCGGTGACAGCTAAAAAATTCGTTTGTCTTCTTTTGTTTTATTTTTGCTTACAAAAAACAAAACAAACAAAAGACACAATAGATTGACTTCTTACTGATTTCAAAGATTTGTGAGGGAGTGTTAGTGACAAGTAGAAATTGTGTAAAAGTATTGGAGTTTCGGTCACGCAAGTTTTGCTGTGGTATCAATTTCATTTCGTATTTAATATATGCACATAAATATGTGTGTTTTAAGTTACGGTTTTTTCTATTTAAAACCTAACGGAAAATCAGTGCCCAAACTGTAGTAATTCATGGCTGTAATGCCGCATTATCAAAAACTATTTAATCAAGTACATACATAAGTAAATGTTCTATATCAATATACTTATAAACACATCCCTAATTTGATGAACCTACA